CAAAGCTGCGCATACACTTGACCAACTCTACAAAGAAGCCTCCAAGTTTGGCACTTGCTTTGGGAAAAGGATGAAGCTGCCAGGGACGCGATTCGTAGGTTTGTTGACGCTTCCCGTCCCCCTCCCTAGTTGGCCAAGGAGAGGCCTTTGATGCCCTGGCCAGCTTCCTGTGGCTTCTGTTCTCGCCTCCCTTTCCCAGGGAAGGCAGCACTTTGGTCTGACCCTCTTTTTTTGCAGCCCCATTTGACTAAGCAGCGGATGAGGAAGCAGCAAGCCTGTAAGGCTGAATGGTGATGGAGAATGTCTGGGACCGAAGGCTCAGCTGTAGCATGGCTTGGTAGCCATTTGATTCATATGGCCAGGCTGTCACGACTTCTTTGAAGTCATGCCAAAAACGGCAACATACAACCAGAGGTGGCCCTAGGTAATTTTCAATGGTAAGCAAACAGTATTTTGGCGCCCCCCCCCCAAACCAATCATTGATATATATTTTCTGTTTGTCATTGGAGTTCTGTGGGTCCCTATTCCATCATTGGTGCAGTTCAGAATGCTCTTTGATTGTAGGTGAACTATACATCCCAGTAACTACACTTGCTGCATTTGCTCCCTTGCCTGGCCCGCTTTGGGTCCGGAGGCGTGCCTGAAGACCCCGGCGTGTGCACCAAAAGTCACCTCTTCTCCTGACTTTCTCCTCAGCCATTGGGACCAAGAGAGAGAGAGAGAGAGGTGGAGATGCCCACCTTTCCTGAAGGTAGGCGCAAAAACAAAGGAGGGAGCGGAGGTGGGAGATACCTCCAGCCGGAGGGGCTCTCTCTCTCTCTCTCTCTCTCTCTCTGTCCCAATGGCTGAAGAGAAAGTCAGGAGAAGAGGCGACTTTTGGTGCGCACGCTGGGGTCTTCAGACACGCCTCCGGACCCGAAGCGGGCCAGGCGGCGGCTCCGCCCCTTGGCCCACCTGCGGATTGGGGAGAGGAGAGGAGGCGGGTGGAGCGCCGGGGGATCAGGAAAGGGAGCCGGTCATGGGGAAGGGATCGAACGCGGAGAACGATTGAGCGCCGGCTCTGCTCGCGCACCCGGTGGCTGGGTGGAGCAGGAATGAGAGGGGCTAGGCGAGGCTCAAGGGCCCGGCCCCTTTGGGAAGAGGATCTCCCGGCAGCGAGGCAAGAAAGCCGAGGCTCCCCCCGGACTGCTAGGGCTGTTGTGAGCTGAGGGGGCGCTCCTCAAGTGGCGGTCGAGGGGCATTTACAGAGGCGCCTCTGCGCCCCTGGCAAAAAAAAGTGTACTGCGACCGCTTACTTCGCGTAATGGACGAGCCGCCCCTGACTCAAGTATATATTCGATACTATATCAGTAGTTCTCAACCTTCCTAATGCCCTGACCCCTTAATACAGTTCCTCACGTTGTGGTGACCCCCAACCATAAAAATATTTTCGTTGCTACTTCCATAACTGTTTTGAATCATAAAATAAATATCTGATATGCAGGATGTATTTTCATTCACTGGACCAAATTTGGCACAAATACCCAATACGGCCACTTTTGAATACTTGTAGGGGATTGATTTTGTCATTTGGGAGTTGTAGTTGGTGGGATTTATCGTTCACCCACAACCAAAGAGTATTCTGAGCTCCACCGATGATGGAATTGAAGCAAACTTGGCACACAAAACTCCCAAGGCCAGCAGAAAATACTGGAAGGGTTTGGTGGGCATTGGCCTTGATTTTGGAGTTGTAGTTCACCTACATCCAAGAGCACTGTGGACTCAAACAATGAAAATCTGGACCAAACTGGCACAAATCCTCAATATGCCCAAATGCGAACACTGGTGGGGTTTGCGGGAAATAGACCTTGACATTTGGGAGTTGTAGTTGCTGGGATTTATCGTTCACCCACAACCAAAGAGCATTCTGAGCTCCACCAATGATGGAATTGAAGCAAACTTGGCACACAGAACTCCCAAGACCAACAAAAAATACTGGAAGGGTTTGGTGGGCATTGGCCTTGCGTTTGGGAGTTGTAGTTCACCTACATCCAGAGAGCACTGTGGACATAAACAATGATAGATCTGGAACAAACTTGGCATGAATACTCAATATGTCCAAATGCGAACACTGGTGGGGTTTGGGGGAAATAGACCTTAACATTTGGGAGTTGTAGTTACTGGAATTTACAGTTCACCTACAATCAAAGAGCATTCTGAGCTCCAACAATGATGGAATTGAAGCAAATTTGGCACACAAAACTCCCAAGACCAACAGAAAATACTGGAATGGTTTGGTGGGCATTGGCCTTGAGTTTTGGGAGTTGTAGTTCACCTACATCTAGAGAGCACTGTGGACTCAAACAATGATGGATCTGGACCAAACTTGGCACAATCCTCAATATGCCCAACTGCAAACACTGGTGGAGTTTGGGGAAAATAGACCTTGACATTTGGGAGTTATAGTTGCTGGGATTTATAGTGGACTCCAACAATGATGCATCTGGACCAAACTTGGCACACAAACCCAACATGTCCAACAGTGAATACTGGTGGGATTTGGGGAGGATTGACCCACAATTTTGGGAATTATAGTTCACCCACATCTTTATGCATTTTCTAATGGGAGCATTAATAAAAACAGAAGGAAAGTCTGACTTTTTTCTAATAAATATAATTACAAATTACTAAGCTGCTATTGCAGCACTGGGACTGTAGTGCAGCTGGCTGGGTGTCAGCTGCATTAAGAGCACTACTGACCGAAAGGTCATGAGTTCGAAGCCAGCCTGGGTCGGAGTGAGCTCCTGACCAATTTGTGTAGCTTGCTGTCGACCTTTGCAGCCCAAAAGACAGTTGCATCTGTCAAGTAGGAAATTTAGGTACCGCTTATGCGGAGGCTAATTTAACTAATTTACGATGCCATAAAATCTCCAGCAAGCATGCAAAGAATGAGGAAGTACTCCGTACGTGTCACAAATGGATGTGAACTGACAGCTCCTTTGTGTAACTTACTGTCGACCTTTGCAGCCCGAAAGACAGTTGCATCTGTCAAGTAGGAAATTTAGGTACCGCATATGCAGGGAGGCTAATTTAACTAATTTACGACGCCATAAAAATCTCCAGCAAGCATGCAAAGAATAAGGAAGTACTTCATCATTATCAGAAATGGACGGTGAAGCGACAGCTCCCCTGGTGGCCAGAATACCCTCATCCTAGCTTTGCAGCCCGTAAGACAGTTGCATCTGTCAAGTAGGAAATTTAGGTACCGCGTATGCAGGGAGGCTAATTTAACTAATTTACGACGCCATAAAAATCTCCAGCAAGCATGCAAAGAATAAGGAAGTACTTCATCATTATCAGAAATGGACGGTGAAGCGACAGCTCCCCTGGTGGCCAGAATACCCTCATCCTAGCTTTGCAGCCCGTAAGACAGTTGCATCTGTCAAGTAGGAAATTTAGGTACCGCGTATGCAGGGAGGCTAATTTAACTAATTTACGACGCCATAAAAATCTCCAGCAAGCATGCAAAGAATAAGGAAGTACTTCATCATTATCAGAAATGGACGGTGAAGCGACAGCTCCCCTGGTGGCCAGAATACCCTCATCCTAGCTTTGCAGCCCGTAAGACAGTTGCATCTGTCAAGTAGGAAATTTAGGTACCACGTATGCAGGGAGGCTAATTTAACTAATTTACGACGCCATAAAAATCTCCAGCAAGCATGCAAAGAATGAGGAAGTACTTCATCAGTGTCACAAATGGACGGTGAAGCGACAGCTCCCCTGGTGGCCAGAATACCCTCATTATACCTTTGCAGCCTGTAAGACAGTTGCATCAGTCAAGTAGGAAATTTAGGTACCACGTATGCAGGGAGGGTAATTTAACTTATTTACGATGCCATAAAAATATCCAGCAAGCATACAAAGAATGAGGAAGTACCTTGTCAGTGTCACAAATGGACAGTGAAGCGACAGCTCCCCTGGAGGCCAGGATACCCTCATCAAAAAAATAAAAGCTGGAATATTAAGTAGCCCCTGTGTCTCTGTCTATATATGTTGAAATTCTCTGCTGGAGCTAGGTGTGAATGTTTCAACTGACCATCTTGATTAGCATTTGATGGCCTGGCAGTTGTTTGGTGTGGCTTGTTAGTGCCTGGGGCAATCTTTTGTTGAGAGGTGATTAGATGTCCCTGATTGTTTCCTCTCTGTTGTTTTGCTGTTGTAATTTTTTTAATACTGGTAGCCAGATTTTGTTCATTTTCATGGTTTCCTCCTTTCTGTTGAAATTGTCCACATGCTTGTGGATTTCAATGGCTTCTCTGTGTAGTCTGACATGGTTGTGAGAGTGGTCCAGCATTTCTGTGTTCTCAATAATATGCTGTGTCCAGGTTGGTTCATCAGGTGCTCTGCTAGGGCTGACTTCTCTGGCTGAAGTAGTCTCATTTCCTTGATTTGTGCTTGGGCAATGTTGCATTTGATGGTCCCTCTGTAGACTTGTCCACAGCTGCATGGAATACGGTAGACTCCTGCAGAAGTGAGAGGATCCCTCTTGTCCTTTGCTGAATGTAGCATTGGTTGGATTTTCTTGGTGGGTCTGTAGATAGTTTGTATGTTGTTGTTGTGACTCAGCTTGACTCTGAGTCTGAAGCTGAGTTCTGTGGGCCTTCTGTCCTGCAGGATGACAAGGAGGCTAATGGGTTACAGATTCCTGTACATGTTTCAGACGGGGCTGATAGTGTGGCTGCTGAAGGAGAAACAGCAAGTCAGTTCTCAGGGGAAAGGAATGTTCCTGCAGTTAGAGAGACTGATAGCGAGAGTGAAATCCCACACGGCCAGGTGGAGGATCCGTCCCAGCTGGACCCAGATAAGGGGTTGCATAGCCTTGCAGATAATGAATTAATGAGCAGACAAGATCGTTTGCAATTAAGGCTTCGGAGAAACACTCGCTTGGCCAGCAAGTGAGAAGCCAAAGGTGCCCAAGGTCAACGCAATGCTTTCATGTTCACAAAGGGTATTTAGTCTTGTTTTTTTCCACTCCCATGTTTTTAATATTGTGTTTACCCTGAAACAATGGACTGGGGTGATTCACAACAATAGCAATAATAATAAGAGCAGTAACAGCGATGGCCGGATGTCCTGCCTTCCTTCAGAGGGTGGAGAAGCGGGGCAGTTCGTGGCCCAGGATGACCTTGCGCTCCACGCCGTCCTCGGTGATGGCGGCCAGGCGGATGACCCCTCCGCTGGAGCCGTCGCGGTCCATGGCCAGAGAGATGGCATTGGTGGCAAAGGCCAAGCACTCCTCCTTGGTCATGCCGGGCTTGTAGGAGGCGTCAACGTAGCCGTAGATGTAGGAGCTGCCCGAGCCTCCGATGGAGAAGGGCTGGTGCACCATCATGCCCCCCATGGGCACCGAATACACCTGCCCTCCTTTGCGCTTGTCCCACCCAGCCACCAGGATCCCGGCCGTCAGGTCCTCCCGGTATCAGTAGCACATCTCCTTGAAGAGGTTGGCCGCCATGTGTACCAAGGGACACTCGTCCAGTTCAATGCTGTGGAAGCCCAGCTGGTACGTGACAGCGTCTGCAATGGCCTGGGTGTCAGCAGCTGAGCCAGACCGACAGCAGAAAATACTAAAGGGTATTTAGTCTTGTAGCTGACTGACAGTTGTTGTCAGTCCAACATTGCTCTTTCCATGTTAACTTCTGGGATTAGTCTTGGCATTTCGCAGCACACTTTTGGCTTCCTGAGTCTGGGATTTGGGTCTTGTTTTCAAGTGTTTTACCATGGACTTTTGTTTGACCATTGCTAAGGGATTATATGTCACCTGGTCATGCCCAGCATTATTTTTTAAATTTTTAATTAGTACATTTGGTTTTTAAACGTCGCTGTGTTATTGTTAATGTTTATTGCTATTTTCTGTTTATGAACTTTATTTATTGTTGTATTATTTTGTTTTTGTTTTATTGTTGTATTGTGGGCTCGGCCTCATGTAAGCCGCACCGAGTCCCTTGGGGAGATGGCAGCAGAGTACAAATAAAGTTTAATAATAATAATAATAATAATAATAATAATAATAATGCTTCATATTTTTGCCTTTGGATGTTGGGAACTTTACTTTTACATTTAAGTCTGATTTGTCTATGGAACTATTGCATTTCTATTTCTTTCTTTTGATTTTGCTTTTCTCAATAAACTACAAAAACCTACAGCCTTGGTGTGGTGGTGTCTGGAGCAAGGTGAAAACTACCCTAAGTTGCAACAGTTGTGTTTCCTCATCAGCTTCCATCAACCACCATGTTGGACTACACAGAGAAGTCATTGAAATCCATAAGTATGTGGACAATTTCAACAGAAAGAAGGAAACCATGAAAATGAATAGAATCTGGCTACGGGTATTAAAAAAAACTCTAAAATTACAACAGCAAAACAACAGAGAGGAAGGAATCAGGGACAGCTAATCAACTCTCAACAAAAGATTGCCCCTAACATGAAGGCGCTGCGATGACCTTTGGCTGACTTGACTTCTTTCTTACTACCTAAGCACGAACTCCTCCTGACCCTCCAATCTAAGCGTTCTTGCCTGCTCATTAATTCACTATCTTCAATGTTCTCTTTATCAGTTTGGTCCAGCTGGACCAAATAACCGTGGGAAGGCTGAACAGGCGAAAACAACTCCACCTGGCCGTTATCTAGCTCACTATGGCACTAACAAGCCACACCAAACAACAGCCAGGCCATCAAATGCTAATCAAGGTGGTCAGTTGAAACATTCACACCTAGCTCCAGCAAACAAGAGTCCTTTGTCCCACCCTGGTCATTCCACAGATATATAAATCCAATTTTCCTAGTTCCAACAGACTTTACAACCTCTGAGGATGCTTGCCATTGATGCAGACGAAATGTCAGGAGAAAATGCCATATAGCCCGAAAAAACCCTACAACAACCCAATCCTTCCCAAGTGATTTTCACCCGCATTAATACTGAATGTGTTGCAATCCATCCAAAATATGGCTGTAGGATTTTGGCGTCAATTGGGGGTAAAGTGAAACTGGGAGTGCGTGGCGGAGAAATGAATCGTGACCATCGATTGCTTCCCAGAAGAAGAAAGAGACAGAGAAAGAAAGAAGGAAGGAAAGAAGGAAAGAAAGAGGACAGAAGGGTGTTTTTTTTAATACAGTCCACATCCGCGCAAATTGTTGGCAATGATGACATCGGTTACAGCGTCAAAGACAAACTGAATGTTGTTGGTGTCGGTGGCGCACGTGATGTGCGTGTAGATCTCCTTGTTGGTCGACTTATTCTTGCTCTCGTACTGGGACTGGATGTAAGTCACGGCTTCGGCGAAAGAGTTGGGACCTGAAAGAGAAACAACAAATACCAAGATAAATGTTTGTTATGAAACCTGTGGCAAATTTCACCCGCTAAAAACAGACTCTCCTGGGTGATGGAGAGATCTCACCCGGGTATGGAGTCAGGGCTCTATAGAACCTATTGGTCCTTGCAAAACTTTCTTAATAAGCAGGATCCCAGATTGTTAAATGCCCCCATTCCAAGCCCTAGATTGGGATTTATTGTCACTAGTTTAGTCACCAGTACTAATGTATAGACATCCCGTATAGACTACTGCAACGCACTCTACGTGGGGTTGCCCTTGAAGACTGTTCGGAAACTCCAACTGGTCCAACGAGCGGCAGCCAGATTGATCACCGGAGCGACATACAGGGAGCACACCACCCCCTTGTTGTGTCAGCTCCACTGGCTGCCGATTCAGTTCCTAGCACAATTCAAGGTGCTGGTTTTGACCTACAAAGCCCTATACGGTTCTGGTCCAGCATATCTGTCCGAACGTATCTCCCTCTACGTCCCATCCCGAAATTTGAGATCATCTGGGGAGGCCCTGCTCTCGACCCCACCGCTATCAGAAGTGAGGCTGGTGGGGACTAGGAGCAGGGCCTTCTCAGTGGTGGCCCCCCACCTGTGGAACTCACTCCCGGGGGAAATCAGGGCATCTACATCCCTCCTTGCCTTCAGGGGGAAGGTAAAGACGTGGCTGTGGGACCAGGCCTTTGGGCATCCTGACAATTAGACATGGAAACCAGATGGATAGGACCGATAATGTGTGGTAGTAGAACCTAAACTATGAGTCTGTTAAATGCTAACCAGCAATGAGGTTTGTATTGTTGTTATTGTGTATCGCTTTTATGGGTTTTATGGTTGTTTTTATTGATAATAATTATTGCTTAATTTAACTGTTATCATTGTTATAATTGTTGTCGTTAACAGATGTTGTGTTTTAGTTGTCATGTAATGCGGGCATTGAACTGTGCCTTGCTTGTGTAAGCCGCCCTGAGTCCCCCCCGGGGTGAGAAGGGCGGGGTATAAGCGACCGTAATAAATAAATAAATAAATAAATAAATAAATAAATAAATAAATAAATGTGCTTAATAATAATATTTATTTATTTATTTATTATTCGAACTTATATGCCGCCACTCCCCTGGGGCTCGGAGCGGCTTACAAGAATGACTAAAATCTAACACAATTTAAAAACAATTTGAAACAATTTAAAAAGAGCGATATCAAAAATCAAAGGCCTGTTGAAACAGGTATGTCTTACATGCCCTGCGGAAAGCTGATAAGTCCCGCAAGGCACGGACTTCAGGTGGCAGAGTATTCCAGAGTGATGGTGCCACTGCTGTGAAGGCTCTGCGTCTGGTTGCTGTTAGACGCAAGGTCTTGACACTGGGAATTTCCAACAGATCTTGGTCCTCAGAACGGAGGGATCTCTGGGGTTGGGAGGGGGTGAGGCGGTCCCTCAGGTACATTGGCACCAGACCATGCAAGGCCTTAAAGGTGAGTACCATCCCTTTGAAAGTGATCCGGTGCTCAATTGGTAACCAATGCAGCTGGAGTAAGATCGGTGTTATGTGGCATCTCATTGGAATTCCCGCAAGAAGCCGAGCAGCTGCGCTTTGTACCGACAGAGGAAGGCCAATGTAGAGGGCGTTACAGTAGTCCAGTCTTGAGATGACCATAGCCTGGATCACCGTAGCTAGGTCGTCCCTGGACAGGGAGGGGGCCAGCCGTCTAGCCTGCCGCAGGTGAAAAAAAGCGGTTCTGCTAACGGCGGAGACCTGGGCCTCCATTGTCAGCAGAGGGTCCAAAAGGACTCCCAGACTCTTTACCAATGATGACGGGCAAAGTGCCTCGCCATCCAGGGTAGGCAGATGGATGTCCCCACTGCCCGGTCGACCCAGCCATAGGATCTCCATCTTTGCTGGATTCACCCTCAACCTGCTGGCACGCCTTGAGGCACTGATGGAAACAATCGGGTACAGAGTCCGGTCGGCCTTCCATCTTCAGCACCAGCTGAGTGTCATCAGCGTACTGGTAACACTCAAGCCCAAAACCTCGAACCAGCTGAGCAAGTGGTCGCATATAGATGTTAAACAATAATAACCAATGCCATCAAAGCCAGAATTGAAAAGTCGACGACAGATCCCAAATGTAGACTCTGCAAGGAAGCAGATGAAACAATAGATCCCATCCTCAGCTGCTGCAAGAAGATTGCGCAGACAGATTACAAGCAGAGGCACAACACCCTTGCTCAGATGATTCATTGGAACCTGTGCCACAAATATTTATTTATTTACTTTATTTTTATTTGTATACCGCCCCTCTCAGCCCGAAGGTGACTCAAGGCGGTTTATACCATCTACCTGCAACAAAGAATTGGTGGGATCACAAGCCGGAAAAAGTTACAGAATATGAACATTATGAACTGGCACTTGATTGCTTGCTGTCTGGAGTTCTCCTGTTTCTGAGTGGTGTTCCTTATTTACTGTCTTGATTCTGGTGTTTTTAATACTGGTAACCTGATTTATGCTGGGGAAAGTAAAAAGGAAGAGGGGCCGACCAAGGGCAAGATGGATGGATGGCATCCTTGAAGTGACTGGACTGACCTTGAAGGAGCTGGGGGTGGTGACGGCCAACAGGGAGCTCTGGCGTGGGCTGGTCCATGAGGTCATGAAGAGTCGGAGACGACTGAACAAATGAACAACAAACAACATGTTTTGCAGGGGCATGGCAATTAATTACTCAGAATAGACCGGGTTTAGCATAGCAGGTTAATCACCAGCTGCAGCTGCAGTAAACCATAGAATCATAGAATCAAAGAGTTGGAAGAGACCTCATGGGCCATCCAGTCCAACCCCCTGCCAAGAAGCAGGAATATTGCATTCAAATCACCCCTGACAGATGGCCATCCAGCCTCTGTTTAAAAGCTTCCAAAGAAGGAGCCTCCACCACACTCCGGGGCAGAGAGTTCCACTGCTGAACGGCTCTCACAGTCAGGAAGTTCTTCTCATGTTCAGATGGAATCTCCTCTCTTGTAGTTTGAAGCCATTGTTCCGTGTCCTAGTCTCCAAGGAAGCAGAAAACAAGCTTGCTCCCTCCTCCCTGTGGCTTCCTCTCACATATTTATACATGGCGATCATATCTCCTCTCAGCCTTCTCTTCTTCAGGCTAAACATGCCCAGTTCCCTAAGCCGCTCCTCATAGGGCTTGTTCTCCAGACCCTTGATCATTTTAGTCGCTCTCCTCTGGACACATTCCAGCTTGTCAATGTCTCTCTTGAATTGTGGTGCCCAGAATTGGACACAATATTCCAGATGTGGTCTAACCAAAGCAGAATAGAGGGGTAGCATTACTTCCTTAGATCTAGACACTATGCTCCTATTGATGCAGGCCAAAATCCCATTGGCTTTTTTTGCCGCCACATCACATTGTTGGCTCATCTTTAACTTGTTGTCCACGAGGACTCCAAGATCTTTTTCACACGTACTGCTCTCGAGCCAGGCGTCACCCATTCTGTATCTTTGCATTTCATTTTTTCTGCCAAAGTGGAGTATCTTGCATTTGTCACTGTTGAACTTCATTTTGTTAGTTTTGGCCCATCTCTCTAATCTGTCAAGATCGTTTTGAATTCTGCTCCTGTCCTCTGGACTATTGGCTATCCCTCCCAATTTGGTGTGATCTGCAAACTTGATGATCATGCCTTCTAGCCCTTCATCTAAGTCATTAATAAAGATGTTGAACAGGACCGGGCCCAGGACGGAACCCTGCGGCACTCCACTCGTCACTTCTTTCCAGGATGAAGAGGAAGCATTGGTGAGCACCCTCTGGGGTCGTCCATTTAACCAATTACAGATCCACCTCACCGTAGTTTTGCCTAGCCCACATTGGACTAGTTTCCTTGCCAGAAGGTCATGGGGGACCTTGTCGAAGGCCTTACTGAAATCCAGGTACGCTACATCCACGGCATAGCCAACCGAAAGGCTGACAGTTCAAAGCTGAGTCAGGGTGAGCTCCTGACCTTCACCCCAGCTCCCCACCCACCTAGCGAAAAAACTGCAATGTGAGTAGATGAATAGGAACCGCATTAAGCAGGAGGCATTTTCGGAATGGCATTTGGAAGAAAGTTTACAAACAAAGAAAGCTCTTTGGTTTTTTTTTTTTTGTCATGTCAGGAGCGACTTGAGAAACTGCAAGTCGCTTCTGGTGTGAGAGAATTGGCCGTCTGCAAGGACGTTGCCCAGGGGACACCCGGATGATTTGATGTTTTTATCATCCTTGTGGGAGGCTTCTCTCATGTCCCCGCATGAGGAGCTGGAGCTGATAGAGGGAGCTCATCCGCCTCTCCCGGATTTGAACCTGCGACCTGTCGGTCTTCAGTCCTGCCGGCACAGGGGTTTAACCCACTGCGCCACCGGGGGCTCCAAGCTATTATGACTACTGAGATATTTATAACTCCCCCCTGTGGCCAGAACCGAGCACAGACTCTAAAGATGCCGAATGATGAGAAAAAGCCTCTATCTGTTGTCTGTCTTGCCATTGTATAATTGGCAATGAATGTTTGCCGTATATATGTTCTCTAAGTCTCCTTCAGGGTGAGAAGGGCAGACTATAAGTGGTGGAATATAAGTACTGTAAATAAATAAACATCATGTATCATGTTCTGCAGTTGATGGTGGTTGGTGGTGGTAGGCCTAGCAGTTGGTTATGCAAGGTTAATGTAATTCTCAGTTCTAAAGGGTTGAGTAATCTGTAAGTAAGAGTTCATGGGTGAAAGCAATTAAGGGTGGAGGTATGCAAGCTGGGTGTTTCTGGATATAAGGAGCTAGCCTTGGGACTGATCTTCGGGAGAAAAGTATCTGTCTTATCTTGGTGGTAGATGCTGCTGGTTTCCCCCCAGGTTTGTGGATTTTCGGTATGCTGACCTGTCTCCTGTGCTCTTGCAACCCCGGAACCTTGAATCTCTGGACTGACTTTTGACTACAGTATAGACCAGGGGTCCTCAAACTAAGGCCCGAGGGCCGGATATGGCCCTCCAAGGTCATTTACTCGGCCCTTGCTCAGGGTGAACCTAAGTCTGAAACTACTTGAAAGCACACAACAACAACAATCCTATCTCATCAGCCAAAAGCAGGCCCACACTTTCCACTGAAATACTAGTAAGTTTATATTTGTTAGAATTGTTCTTCATTTATTGTATTGTTTTAAGTGTTTTTTGCGCTACAAATAAGATGTGTGCAGTGTGCATTCATTTTTTTTTCAAATTATAATCTGACCCTCCAACAGTTTAAAGGATTGAGACCTGGCCCTCTGTTTAAAAAGTTTGAGGACCCCTGGTATAGACTCTTGATCCCTGGACTTTGTTTATTGAACTCTCGGCATTTGACTACTAGACTGGACCTTTTGACTACAGAGTTATCTTGAACCTGCAATAGTGTTTGCTGTTTTTGTTTTATATTCTGTGGCTGAGTGCAATCTTTATGTTTTATATTTTGGACTATTAAAACAGCCAGAAAGTAAGTGCTGTTTTAATCAAATTGTTTTATACAAACTGGGTTTTTGTTTGGTTCATCTCTGCCTCTGTAAAAGCAGAGCCCTGGCATCATGACAATAAATAATAAATTAATAAACAAAATCTGGTTGGCAGTATTAAAAACACCAGAATACATATACTCCACTTGCCTCACCTCCAACAGACCTCAGAAGATGCCAGCCACAGATGGAAGTGAAACATCAGGAGAGAATGCAGCTGGGGCATTAGTATACAGGCCGAAAAACTCACAGCAACCCCAAAATCAGTGTTTTTACGCACCTAGGTAATCGGCATTGAATGTTTGCCGTATATGTGTTCTGTGATCCACCCTGAGTCTCCTTCAGGGTGAGAAGGGTGGACTATAAGTGGCGGAATATGTATCATGTTCTGCAGTTGATGGTGGTTGGTGGTGGTAGGCCTAGCAGTTGGTGATGGACCTGGTGGTGGTAGGCCTAGCAGTTGGTGATGGTAACCACTGGACTGGACCTTTGACTATGGAGTTATCTTGAATCTGCAACAGTGTTTGCTGTTTTTGTTTTATATTCTGTGTCTGAGTGCAATCTTTATGGTTTATATTTTGGACTATTAAAACAGCCAGAAAGTAAGTACTGTTTTTATTAAATTGTTTTATACAAACAGTTTTTGTTTGGTTCATCTCTGCCTCTGTAAAGGCAGAGCCCTGGCATCATGACAATAAATAATAAATTAATAAACAAAATCTGGTTGGCAGTATTAAAAACACCAGAATACATATACTCCACTTGCCTCACCTCCAACAGACCTCAGAAGATGCCAGCCACAGATGGAAGTGAAACGTCAGGAGAAAATGCAGCTGGAGCATGGCTATACAGCCCGAAAAACTCACAGCAACCCAAGAAGCAGTGTTTTTACGCACCTATGTAATCTGGAAAGCAGATCATTAACGGGGATTTCTTGATCTTCTCCTCAAAGATGTCCTTCTTGTTGAGGAAGAGGATGATGGACGTATCCGTGAACCACTTGTTGTTACAGATACTATCAAAGAGTTTCAGTGATTCGTGCATGCGGTTCTGCAACACAAAGGAGACATGGCGTCAGGCCTGCAATGGTCAATTGTGCCATTTTGAATGCTTTAGGGAGGAGTCTAAAATTAAGAAAGGAAAACGAACACAAGGACGCAGACAACAGGGGAAATAATAAAATCAAGGTATACATTTCAGGGGGGAAAAAGGGATGCATACAAAAAAAATGGCGTTGTGATAGAGTCGATGTACAGGACTGTAGCGTTAAATAAAAAATCTCGACCGAGCTGTATAGTTTGCATAGCAGATCTTTTAAGAAGGTTTCAGCTCTGGTATATGGTCATGCACCATGCACATTTTGGGGGGACCTTACAAAGGTCAAAAATCTAAACCAAAGTGCAGGTCATGCAGATTTCCCCATGGAAAGGTCGCTGCTATCATTGGTGCCTGCGTGTGGGGGGGACGTGGTGTATTTGGAGACATTTGGAGTTGGAGACATTAACCAAGGACCGGTCAAAATCCTTGAATTAATCGAGAGTTGAAAGCAGACCCGAAGGCGGCCTCGTCTTGGCATTGCCCTTGCTGTGACCTTGGGCTTTAGTCGCTTGTTATTTGGTTTTGGTTCAGCCAACTCCTTATATTTTAAAAAAAGGAAAAAATTAGTGTGAGTGCTTTTGGGAGGAAGGCGGTTTGGCTGAAGGCATCTCACAAGACAAATGGACATAAACAAATTAAATGGAGAGCGAGAGAGAGACGGAGAAAGAAGAAGCAAGGAGGACAGCAAAGGCTGAAATACTGATGAGCGGGCGACCTTGGCCGAGGTTAGGTCATGCCTCAAGGAAAAAGATTAGATTTGGCTTGGAGGGAATGTGCAAATGCACAAATGGGAACGGGAGCTTTTTAGTTGGATGTCATGCAATAAAAAAGGACGTAGATGACAACAACAACAATGACCGGAATAATAATAATAATATCGATGTATTTGGTTAAGTAGCCGTGAGGTTTGGTGGATGGTGGTAGGCAAACAGCTCACAGCAAAAACCAGCCAATCGGAGTCATTTCCCTGGCTGCTTTCAACTCTTTTTTTTGTTTTCATTGTTCAAAAGAAGCGTCATACCTGCCAAAATTTGGAGGGTCTCTCAAAATATTTTGGCCTTGGTTTGGTTAGGGAAGATCTGGCGGCCGAGGAAAAGTGGCGCTGGTGCAGAAGCTTGCTGGAAGTTTGGAGCGAGAATTGGAAGCCGGAGGGCCTCTCTCCGGTGGAAATGGCACAGCAGAGAGAACGGAGGTCCAAAGAGCCAACCCAAAGAGGCAAGGGGCATAGGACTCGAAAGGCAAAAAGCAGGTTACAGGTCGGAGAGCCGTTTACCCAAGGTGTCATTGATGGGAGCCCCCCAGATCCAATCACAAAAAGCCAACATCAGTTATGATCCACCAAAGAAAGAGGACAGGTAGGAAAGTTATTTTGATATCTACTCAGAAGTTTCATCATCATTGCAAGGTTACAAATTGGAGAGCTGTTTACCCAACGTGTCGTTGATGGGAGCCCCCAGTACTCATCACAAAAAGCCAACATCAATTATCATCCACCAAAGAAAGAGGACAGGTAGGAAAGTTATTTCGATATCTACTCAGAAGCTTCATCATCATTGGAAGGTAACAAATTGGAGAGCCATTTACCCAAGGTGTCATTGATGGGAACCCCCCAGAACCAAACACAAAAAGCCAACATCAATTATCATCCACCAAAGAAAGAGGACAGGTAGGAAAGTTATTTCGATATCTACTCGGAAGCTTCATCATCATCTGAAGGTTACAAATCAGAGAGCTGTTTACCCAAGGTGTCATTGATGGGAGCCCCCCAGTACTCATCACAAAAAGCCAACATCAATTATCATCCACCAAAGAAAGAGGACCGGTAGGAAAGTTATTTCGATGTTTACTCGGAAGCTTCTTCATCATCGGAAGGTTAGAGATCAGAGAGTCATTTACCCAAGGTGTCATTGATGGGAGCCCCCCAGTACTCATCACAAAAAGCCAACATCAATTATTATCCACCAAAGAAAGAGGACAGGTAGGAAAGTTATTTCAATATCTACTCGGAAGCTTCATCATCATCGGAAGGTTACAAATCGGAGAGCTGTTTACCTAAGGTGTCATTGATGGGAGCCCCCCAGATCCAATCACAAAAAGTCAGCATCAATTATCATCCACCAAAGAAAGAGGACAGGTAGGAAAGTTATTTCGATATCTACTCAGAAGTTTCATCATCATTGCAAGGTTACAAATTGGAGAGCTGTTTACCCAACGTGTCGTTGATGGGAGCCCCCCAGTACTCATCACAAAAAGCCAACATCAATTATCATCCACCAAAGAAAGAGGACAGGTAGGAAAGTTATTTCGATATCTACTTGGAAGCTTCACCGTCATCGGAAGGTTAGAGATCAGAGAGCTGTTTACCCAAGGTGTCATTGATGGGAGCCCCCCAGTACTCATCATAAAAAGCCAACATCAATTATCATCCACCAAAGAAAGAGGACCAGTAGGAAAGTTATTTCGATATCTACTTGGAAGCTTCATCATCATTTGAAGGTTACAAATCAGAGAGCTGTTTACCCAAAGTGTCATTGATGGGAGCCCACCAGTACTCATCACAAAAAAGCCAACATCAATTATCATCCACCAAAGAAAGAGGACCGGTAGGAAAGTTATTTCGATATCTACTTGGAAGCTTCATCATCAGAAGGTTACATATTGGAGAGCCATTTACCCAAGGTGTCATTGATGGGAGCCCCCCAGATCCAATCACAAAAAGCCGACATCAATTATCATCCACCAAAGAAAGAGGACAGGTAGGAAAGATATTTCGATATTGTCCCGAGTTGCCCTTCGAAAACAGTCTTTAGATAATGTTGTAATTAAAAGAAAAATACTTTAATTTAGCAACCACAAAGGATAAGCAAATGCAATTGAAAAGTGCAAAAGAAAGCAAAGAAGTCTTAATTCAGACACAAATTAAAGTCTCTTACAAAGTCCCAAATGTTGTCTTCCATCAGACAATGGGCAATGAACTAAGTCCTTAGCAGCAAACACAAAGCAGATTCCATTAGAGTGAAAACATCACTTTCAGGGTTGTTGTTACCAGCAAAAGCTGACTGCTCCTGTCTCCGATTTATAGCCCTGAATTCTAGGGTGTCTCCCAATTAGCTCAGCGTTTTTAGCAGCTATTCTGGCTGAACGTGCTCTGTCTCTTTTCATCTCTCTAGAAATGTGGGCACTTTCAAACCCTCATCGTCTGACTCTTCTTCTCCCTCCAATTTCTGAGTACTTCCCTGCTCCCTTTCCTCTTCCGAAAATGAGGAATCCCCAACAGATATCTACTTGGAAGCTTCTTCATCATCGGAAGGTTACAAATTGGAGAGTCTTTTACCCAAGGTGTCATTGATGGGAGCCCCCCAGTACTCATCACAAAAAGTCAACATCAATTATCATCCACCAAAGAAAGAGGACCGGTAGGAAAGTTATTTCAATATCTACTCGGAAGCTTCATCATCATTGGAAGGTTACAAATCAGAGAGCTGTTTACCCAAAGTGTCATTGATGGGAGTCCAGCAGTACTCATCACAAAAAGCCAACATCAATTATCATCCACCAAGGAAAGAGGACCGGTAGGAAAGTTATTTCCACCATCATTGGAAGGTCACGAATTGGAGAGCCATTTACCCAAGGTGTCATTGATGGGAGCCCCCCCAGTACTCATCACAAAAAGCCAACATCAATTATCATCCACCAAAGAAAGAGGACCGGTAGGAAAGTTATTTCGATGTTTACTCGGAAGCTTCTTCATCATCGGAAGGTTAGAGATCAGAGAGTCGTTTACCCAAAGTGTCATTGATGGGAGCCCCCCAGTTCCAATCACAAAAAGCCAACGTCAATTATCATCCATCAAAGAAAGAGGACAGGTAGGAAAGTTATTTCGATATCTACTCGGAAGCTTCATCATCATCGGAAGGTTACAAATCAGAGAGCTGTTTACCCAAAGTGTCATTGATGGGAGCCCCCCAGTACTCATCACAAAAAGCCAATATCAATTATCATCCACCAAAGAAAGAGGACCGGTAGGAAAGTTATTTCGATATCTACTCGGAAGCTTCATCATCATCAAGATTACAAATCGGAGAGCCATTTACCCAAGGTGTCATTGATGGGAATCCCCCAGTTCCAATTACAAAAAGTCGACATCAATTATCATCCACCAAAGAAAGAGGACAGGTAGGAAAGTTATTTCGATATTGTCCTGAGTTGCCCTTCAAAAATAATCTTTAGACAATGTTGAAAGGAAAAGAAAAATACTTCAATTCAAGAAACACAAAGGATAAGCAAATGTAATTGAGAAGTCCACGACATGCGAGTGTGGAGAAGAGCAAACCACTGACCACCTGCTGCAATGCACCCTGAGCCCAGCCACATGCACAATGGAGGACCTTCTTGCAGCAACACCAGAGGCACTCCAAGTGGCCAGATACTGCTCAAAGGACATTTAATCAACTACGAAACTCGCAAATTTTGTATTTTGTCTGTTTGTTTGTTTTCTTTGTTATCAGAAACTATAGATCAACATTGTTGTTGTTCATTCGTTCAGTCGTCTCCGACTCTTCGTGACCTCATGGACCAGCCCACGCCAGAGCTCCCTGTGGGCTGTCACCACCCCCAGCTCCTTCAAGGTCAGTCCAGTCACTTCAAGGATGCCATCCATCCATCTTGCCCTTGGTCGGCCCCTCTTCCTTTTGCCTTCCACTTTCCCCAGCATAATTGTCTTCTCTAGGCTTTGCTGTCTCCTCATGATGTGGCCAAAGGACTTCAGCTTTGTCTCTAGTATCCTTCCCTCCAGTGAGCAGTCGGGCTTTATTTCCTGGAGGATGGACTGGTTGGATCTTCTCGCAGTCCAAGGCACTCTCAGAACTTTCCTCCAGCACCACAGCTCAAAAGCATCGATCTTCCTTCGCTCAGCCTTCCCGAAGGTCCAGCTCTCACATCCATAGGTTACT